TCAAACACTAATTTTCCATCTTGGTCCCTCTTAAACCAATCAACCCGTGAGCTTGTGGTCCCATAGCCAAGTCAATTCATTGAAGTAAGCAATCCACTTCATCCATCAACAGATCAAATGTAGAATGAATTGCCCAAAATGCATCCAATCAACATTTCCCTGTCTCACCACATGTAAAAATCATTATTCAAATCCACATCACCTACTTTTGGGACTACCCTAAAGATTTTTTATCCACCCACAAATTTTAGGGACCTGCCCCCCACTTGTTGATGGAGCTTAAAAGAAAAATTACACTACTTGCTGTTGGAAATTAGTTTAGGGGACTGTCTCGATATTTATCCATTAGAACACTGAAACAAGTTGAATTGAATTGTACAAGAAAAGAAACTGATAATTCACATTATGCTGTGGCAATATATTACAACCAGAAACATTAAGGGCATGTTCCACAACTTTTTACTCCACCCCATTTTGTCTTCTATCCCCCACAATCCTATTTTCATCATGACTCCACTTAATCATAGCAAAATAAAGCATATCTATCTTTCTATCTATTATCTCAGTTGTGACGGTGATGAACACACTCAGCTGGCGTGACTGGGAACCTAGCAGTGTCAGAGCAATAGTCATAGAAGATGTGTCTGGCTCTAACCCACTTCAGCTGATGGCTCTGGTGCACGTTGAGTTCAGCCAAATTTGGCTCATCCCACCAATACTTCTTACCCTCACTGCTGCTACAGCGTTTAGAGTTATCCATTGCAGCCACTGCCACAGGGCATTCACAAGCATTGATCTCAAAGTTCTTGAAGGTGACAAAGAAGGGTGCGTGGCTCCAATCCGTCTTCACACGACCACCCTGGGTGGCCCAATTGTCAGCATTCCATATAGAACTGTACACACCCATGGGCTGATCTTTCGGATAAGGAATACCCTTGTGCTCCATGTTTGTGTGTACTCTTATCGGCGTTTCATCCACCAAAAACCTGATCATGTAAAAAACATTTTAACCAAACAACTTAACACTTTTAGATCACCAAATCAACATGGTAAATTTTGGTTCGGTCTATATTAATATGTACCACCTGCAAATACTGAAGCGCATGGGAACATATGTACAACATATGTACGTACATATTCTTGTATAGACCCATGAATTGTCCTAGATTCCCTTACCTTTTTTCATGGATTTCTTTTCGTGTAACCCGATTGGGTACACAGTGAAAACAAGTCTGTGATGGCTCAACCACCGAAAGGGGAAAAAGCACGCTATCTTACAGCTTTTTCCCTTTCCATAGTCATTGTTTTAGATATAACAGTGAAGTTACATTAGGTTTTAAATCTAATGCAATGTGCAGTAATTAAGAGGAATGGGTACTTACACAACTTGTCGTTGATTCCAGAAGATAGTGTATGAATGGAAATCCTTGGTAGGGTCGAACCAAAGGTTAAGCCTTTGTTCTCTGTTGCCCACTCCGTTCACATACACGTTTGTTTGGACTGAGTATGGTTCCCCTGTGGTGTTGCCCAGAAACTCAAAATCAAACTCATTGTGGTTTGGCCCCTCCGAGGACATCTACGTCAAATCAATTATCACTGTGTCAGACTCATTCAGATTCCTCAATAATTGAAACCAAAAAAAAAGTGAAAAGTCAATTCAAACGCAGAATAATATAACTGTTGGGTTGATCGTGATGAAAGTAAAGTTCCCCAGCAGAATTTAACCGTGCATTGGTTCGTAGATCGCAAAGACGGAGACAACAGTAATGAATGCGAATATTAATTGGATGTAAAGTAAATCACGAGGGTAAAGGGTAGTAGGTAGCTGCCACTAATGGGTGTGTTAAATGGATTCCATGGATTCCAAGTCCATTTTTTTTTTTGCAGAAAAACGTTGCTTACATTGATTTTAATTGAATGCATTAAATGAGGTCCCAGAGGTAGACCATCTCCATACTAATGATGAAGAGTTAAAGCCACATAGTCAAGTGAGGCCAAAGTAGTATCACTCTTGATGATGATTAATTGATATTTGTTATAACAAGTTAATTAATACTAACAATAAACAAAAAAACCGAGGAATAACTTGGTGACTAAGAATAATTTTGTTCACTTACATAGAAAGCAGTGACAGTCCCCGCAGAATCACCTTCCACAAGCTTAAGCTGGATGGTCACTTTCCCAAACATATACTTGCTTTTGGATCCAAAACCAGCCCCTGAAAATGTCCCACTCAATATTAACGACACAAAACAAACCATTTTTCTCAAGCGTAGTGTCTATATTAGATTGTTCATTAGTGGGATGAACTAGTCAAAGATCATGACTAAGAGGCTAACAAAGACAATCTCTTTGGATGCTCAAAGAAACAGAAAAAATAAAAACCTGTGGCTTTACCAGAATAATTGTCAAGTTTGAGTTTGAGGAGATTTCCTTCATGAACGAAGTGATCAAAAGCCCAACTTGGTTGGAAAAGTTGATCGAAGTTGGAGGTGGAAGCCACCCCCACAACCAACATAAGACCCACAAACAATCCTAAGGAGTGAGACATCCTTAAAGCGGAACAGAAGAGTATGGGGAGAGCAGAGGGAAGGTTCTTTGAGCAGTGAGTGAGAAGAGAGTGAGAAGTAAGAAGTGTTTTATAGCCAAAGTGTGTTTGAAAGTGGCTTGCGAGATAAGCTGGTGTTGCATTCCCAATGTACACATCATGGAGGACTGTGCCACATCAGCTTGCCAGGGTGGATTTCAAATACCAAGAGAAAAAGACATAAAAGATGATGTGGTGCGTGGCAAATGGTGCCGTTACTGTTGCAAATAACAGCTGGCAAAAGCTGTACACTCTTCAAGCTCCACTGGGCACGCACTACACAGTCGCAACAACACTGTCTTTAATCATATTCAAAAACAGCACCACCATGTAACCAACATTTTACTTTAATAATAGCATTGTTTAGTAGAGACAGAAATTTAAGGATGTGTGAAAGATTTGAAATAAGGAAAGAAGTAGGGGAAGATGTGAAATGGGAGAGTGTATTAATTTATCATAAATGGCCTAGAGAGTAGAGAGCGTGGTACAGAATGGGTGGATATGGAAAAAATGGTGCAGAGCAATAAAATGATGTGGTGGTGTTTGATGGATAAAGAAGGTGATGGTGGCGATCCAGCTGTAATTGGTGGTACGGGTTTGAAAATCTCTGCCATGCACCATCACAAGCTTCTCTCCTTCGCAATTCATGGCTGCATCGCAAGCATAGGTAGTACACAACACTCGCTTGTTACAACCAGACACGCGTGTCTTACAATCTTGGGGCATCCTTGTCCCATCTTTCGAGTTGATAAAACTGTCATGTTGGATATTTGAATGCATATCTGCTTCTACACATTTATCTCTATTATTATCTATTTATAAGATAAGATCAAAAACAAAATAAATAATTAAAAAAAGATATTTTTATTAAAATAGATGAATTTGTATAGCTATTAAAATTGTAAATAAATGAAGAGATTTTTACAAAAAATAGAAAACATAAAAACGTGGTGGTTTAAGTTTTTATACGTAACGGTGGTGGTTTTCACCATGTTGCCGTTGCTGACGGCGTTTTTCCAGCTGGAGTGTACACAAAGACGCACTTACTCAAAGGCCCCGCTTCGTAACGTCTCTTTAATGTATAAGTTGGAGTAATTCGTAATATAAAATGATTATATTGTCATAAACTCGTTTAACNAATCACTGTTCATCATTGTCGACCCAAGATCGAACGGATCACCAATCAACGAATAAGTATCTGATCTTCGCTCAATAGCCCCCACAGCCTCAACACCATTTATAATGCCAGCTCCAAGATCGACAGAAACAGAAAATGAGTGATCTGGTTTTCCCGATGCTTGTGGCACCGAATTTCCCAACTCCTGGAAGTCCTTGTTGACGCTTCCCTCCTGTAGCTCCGCTGCCAGCTCCTCACAAACGGTGTCTCGATTCAGTTCGCCGAACCTCCGCGTCAGCGCTTCCGTGAATATCTTCCAATTTGGATGTCGGGTTTTCTTCCGCCAGAAACGAATCCAATAGTAGCTCGCGCCTCTCTCCATACAGGTATATACCAACTTCATCTTCTTCCTCTCCGTCAAGTTCTGTAGATCGAAAAATTTCTCTGCCTTCGCGATCCAGCCCATGGGGTCCACTCCTTCGAATGTTGGGAGTTCAATGCGTTTCATCCCGCTACGTTGCACGTCTCCTCTGTCCTCTTCCGCTTCGTCCTCCGACTTCTCTGGTGGTCGCCGTTTGCGTTCAGCGTTGACGGAATCGCGACTCCCTTCGGAGCTCCGACGCTGGTTCCTTCTTCTCCCACGGTCGCGATTAATGTTTCGTCTTCCACAGTCGCGATTCCCGTCTCGAGCCCTTCCTCTCATCTCCTCTCGAATCTCTTCCAACATGGCTTCCATGGACTCGAACTTCCCTTCCCACCTTTCCTCCAGTGCATTCATCTTGTTCTCCATCGCGCAACTCCTCCGATCTGGATCCGGCAGGTCGGACCAATTTGTTAGGTTACTTTATGCCAATAACCTAATCAAGACTCTCTTCTCACCACAACTCTCGAATAAAGAATGGAAAAAATATGTATATATGTATTATTGATGAATGAGTGAATCAGAATACAAGAATTCCCCCCAAGGAAGCCTAACCTTCCTCTTCTGGAAACTATCCAGTCTGAACAAATTCCCCGATACCCCTCTCCCCCTACTTAGTTTATTATTTATACCTTCTCTCTCTTCTAACAACTATAACATATTACTCTCCTTACACGTGTCTCACACGTGTCTAACTCATTCTCTTTTATTCCTAACATTGTACCTCTTCTCTTGTTCATGAAAAATGGTAGCACAAAGGTGATAACTTTTTTCTCATAGAAAAAATGGTTGCAAATAGGGCATTATTACCTCTCCCCATAAAGTAAAGTTCCCAAACCTCAAAACAAAAGTTCATCTTCATGTGTCTAAAAGTCACAATTTCCTACTTCTCCTCCGTCAAACACTAATTTTCCATCTTGGTCCCTCTTAAACCAATCAACCCGTGAGCTTGTGGTCCCATAGCCAAGTCAATTCATTGAAGTAAGCAATCCACTTCATCCATCAACAGATCAAATGTAGAAAGAATTGCCCAAAATGCATCCAATCAACATCTCCCTGTCTCACCACATGTAAAAATCATTATTCAAATCCACATCACCTACTTTTGGGACTACCCTAAAGATTTTTTATCCACCCACAAATTTTAGGGACCTGCCCCCCACTTGTTGATGGAGCTTAAAAGAAAAATTACACTACTTGCTGTTGGAAATTAGTTTAGGGGACTGTCTCGATATTTATCCATTAGAACACTGAAACAAGTTGAATTGAATTGTACAAGAAAAGAAACTGATAATTCACATTATGCTGTGGCAATATATTACAACCAGAAACATTAAGGGCATGTTCCACAACTTTTTACTCCACCCCATTTTGTCTTCTATCCCCCACAATCCTATTTTCATCATGACTCCACTTAATCATAGCAAAATAAAGCATATCTATCTTTCTATCTATTATCTCAGTTGTGACGGTGATGAACACACTCAGCTGGCGTGACTGGGAACCTAGCAGTGTCAGAGCAATAGTCATAGAAGATGTGTCTGGCTCTAACCCACTTCAGCTGATGGCTCTGGTGCACGTTGAGTTCAGCCAAATTTGGCTCATCCCACCAATACTTCTTACCCTCACTGCTGCTACAGCGTTTAGAGTTATCCATTGCAGCCACTGCCACAGGGCATTCACAAGCATTGATCTCAAAGTTCTTGAAGGTGACAAAGAAGGGTGCGTGGCTCCAATCCGTCTTCACACGACCACCCTGGGTGGCCCAATTGTCAGCATTCCATATAGAACTGTACACACCCATGGGCTGATCTTTCGGATAAGGAATACCCTTGTGCTCCATGTTTGTGTGTACTCTTATCGGCGTTTCATCCACCAAAAACCTGATCATGTAAAAAACATTTTAACCAAACAACTTAACACTTTCAGATCACCAAATCAACATGGTAAAGTTTGGTTCGGTCTATATTAATATGTACCACCTGCAAATACTGAAGCGCATGGGAACATATGTACAACATATGTACGTACATATTCTTGTATAGACCCATGAATTGTCCTAGATTCCCTTACCTTTTTTCATGGATTTCTTTTCGTGTAACCCGATTGGGTACACAGTGAAAACAAGTCTGTGATGGCTCAACCACCGAAAGGGGAAAAAGCACGCTATCTTACAGCTTTTTCCCTTTCCATAGTCATTGTTTTAGATATAACAGTGAAGTTACATTAGGTTTTAAATCTAATGCAATGTGCAGTAATTAAGAGGAATGGGTACTTACACAACTTGTCGTTGATTCCAGAAGATAGTGTATGAATGGAAATCCTTGGTAGGGTCGAACCAAAGGTTAAGCCTTTGTTCTCTGTTGCCCACTCCGTTCACATACACGTTTGTTTGGACTGAGTATGGTTCCCCTGTGGTGTTGCCCAGAAACTCAAAATCAAACTCATTGTGGTTTGGCCCCTCCGAGGACATCTACGTCAAATCAATTGTCAAATCAATTATCACTGTGTCAGACTCATTCAGATTCCCCAATAATTGAAACCAAAAAAAAGTGAAAAGTCAATTCAAACGCAGAATAATATAACTGTTGGGTTGATCGTGGTGAAAGTAAAGTTCCCCAGCAGAATTTAACCGTGCATTGGTTCATAGATCGCCGGAGACAAAAGTAATGAATGCGAATATTAATTGGATGTAAAGTAAATCACGAGGGTAAAGGGTAGTAGGTAGCTGCCACTAATGGGTGTGTTAAATGGATTCCATGGATTCCAAGTCCATTTTTTTTTTTGCAGAAAAACGTTGCTTACATTGATTTTAATTGAATGCATTAAATGAGGTCCCAGAGGTAGACCATCTCCATACTAATTATGAAGAGTTAAAGCCACATAGTCAAGTGAGGCCAAAGTAGTATCACTCTTGATGATGATTAATTGATATTTGTTATAACAAGTTAATTAATACTAACAATAAACAAAAAAACCGAGGAATAACTTGGTGACTAAGAATAATTTTGTTCACTTACATAGAAAGCAGTGACAGTCCCCGCAGAATCACCTTCCACAAGCTTAAGCTGGATGGTCACTTTCCCAAACATATACTTGCTTTTGGATCCAAAACCAGCCCCTGAAAATGTCCCACTCAATATTAACGACACAAAACAAACCATTTTTCTCAAGCGTAGTGTCTATATTAGATTGTTCATTAGTGGGATGAACTAGTCAAAGATCATGACTAAGAGGCTAACAAAGACAATCTCTTTGGATGCTCAAAGAAACAGAAAAAATAAAAACCTGTGGCTTTACCAGAATAATTGTCAAGTTTGAGTTTGAGGAGATTTCCTTCATGAACGAAGTGATCAAAAGCCCAACTTGGTTGGAAAAGTTGATCGAAGTTGGAGGTGGAAGCCACCCCCACAACCAACATAAGACCCACAAACAATCCTAAGGAGTGAGACATCCTTAAAGCGGAACAGAAGAGTATGGGGAGAGCAGAGGG